TTTTCTCACTGAACATTTAGGATTTATCTTAGACTTCTGGAAGAGCATTTTAGGAAATCCCACCCTATCCTCAATATTTTGGAGTGGATGAAGGCAGGTAGCCCTGGCACTTTAACTTTAGAGTATTGTCTGCTGAAGAAGGGCACAGTTCTGCTCACCCAAATACACACTATTCTCATTTTGTTTTCTAGGCAATGTGTTGGCCTCAACTGGCCACATTTTGCTTCTGTTACTTTTCCTTGCTGTGATGTTGCATTGGCTTTGTGTCCTTGGTGTTTGTGTCCAGGTTATTTTTTTCATTACACTTTGTAAGTATGTCTTGTTTATTTAATGTACCTGTGTTTCTCATTTAAGTTTTCTCAGTTCTTGTTCACCCTTTGGCCACAGCTGTGCCAGAATGTGGCATGCAGGGCATCTGGGCACTGGGACACCAGCAGAGAAATTTCTCAGAAAGCCCCACGAGGAGAGTTTTTCTCAGAGGGTGAGGGAAGAGCACTAGCAAGGGAGGGGTGATAAAGAGCTTCTTTCCTTTACAACAGGATTTTTATTTGAAGAATCCGCAGGAAAGTCCAGCCTGATCTCTGGTCATCACATGCCAAGTGACAGCTCAGGCATTGTATACAAGGGGCAGAGAAATGGAAAGTCTGGGGTGATTTTTTTTGTGATTTTTGAAAGAGCAACAGGTGTTTAAGAGAAGGGTGTGATATTTGCAGCCCAACAGGCAGAAATAGGGCTGAGAAATACGCATGATGGCCATTGCATGTGTGGGCAATGTAGGTATGTATGGACTCTCACAGTGAAATGAAGCCCACTGTTTCCAGAGACAGTCCTGTTAGCGGAGTTCCTTCTTTAGCAGAAGCTATGCAGTGCACTGCATGCTGGCTTACTGTGCACAGGGTTTAGGAAGTTTGTATCTAGGTGAACAAATGAAGTCTGTGATCTCATAGCAAAGCAGCCCAGTGCGAGCTCCATGAGCATGCTGTGAAATTTATGGGTATATAAAAAAGAAAATTATGGACTGATATTCCCCAGAGACAGTAGGGAATATGCAGCACTGCCTACAGTGGAGGTCAGTACCTGTGTACCGGACTGCCCCGAGTCAAAGATGCCCTGTTTTCTAAACATTTCATGCAAACCTGTTATCCACCAGGGTCTGCATTATGCTGCAGTGACAGCCTTTTTCTATTCACATAACCATGACCTCCACTGAGCAAACAGAAGATTTATATGTGACCAGCATCTCAGACTTTTGCAAAGTTCAAGACATCACACAGAGCAAAGCTGTGGATGACACCTGTGATGGAAGCATGTGACTGGTGACGTAACACACCAGCTCTGAATTTCCCAACCTCTAAGTGCTTTCCAAACAACTTGTCTAGGGTTGGGTTGTCCAAACTTCAGAGGATGATGGCTCTGTTCCTGAACACTAGGACAGCAGTGTGGAGACATAGGTAAATTAATGCCAGCTACTTGGCATAGTTTGTTGAAGATGGCCCATTGCAAGTGGATGTTCTGTACTTACTACTGATTGTAGTAGTGTAGAGGAAAATGAGGTGTCATGGCCTTTCTCCTCCAGAAATGGCATTTCTGCATGATAGAGACTGCAAGGTTGAGGTTATGACCCTGTCTGCCATGAGGGATTGTCTGCAGCCACCACCAATGACAAAAACCTGCTCAAGCTTCTCACCCATGTTGTGCATAACCTCTTGTAGTGTATAATATGCTGGGTCATATAGGCTAAATGGTTGGTCAGCTTGGTCAAAGCTTATGGTCCAAGAAAGTGGTGTTGTGGGAAGGTGAAGAAGCCAAAGACATCTGGTTTGGCCCTTGCTAAGTGTGTGAGGACAAAATTCATGTTCTGCTGGCAAATGAGGGCCAGCAGTGTGGATTCAGTTTGGCATGAGTGACTCGGTTTGACAAACTCAAGACCAAACTCAGTCCTGGCTATCAAAGATTATGGAGATACAGTCTAAAAAATTACCCGCTTCTGGAGAGGTTCCTGGCAGTAAAAAGTTCCTCTCTTCAAGCTTTCCCTCAGTTCGGTGTAGAACTGGGGATTTTAGATCATCACTGGCAGTGGTAAGCACAGTACTGATTTTTCTGGACCTACCTAATAATTTTAACTTCTCAGCATGCAATTGGCCTGGACAGTGTTTTTTTGCAGACTTTTTTTTTATTTTTATTCTTCATAGCAACCTTGTATCTTGAAGAGTATGGGCTAGGTTGTAAAATGTGTGTTATTGTAGCTGAATAGGTGCCCAGGGTACATAATCATTCAATACAGCAAGCTAGAATTAGAAGTGAAATATAAACGTGTATTTCCTTTGTGAAGTAGAGAAAGAAGTTGCATTTCTTAAGGTCTGGTACAAAGAAGAGTCAATCCTCCCTTGCCTTTCCCCTCATACCCCTTCTGCAGGCAGAAGATGGAGAGGTCCTGCCAGCAATGCTGTGAGTAGTTTGATGCTGTAGCTCTTTCTCAGTAATGTGCATTGCAGAATAAAGGACAAGCTACGCTGGCCTCAATATTGCAGGGTAGCTCACATTGGTTCATCTGATACAGGCTATGTCAAGTTAAATGAAATCCTCAGCTGCTTCTCTTAATTCCCAGGTCACTGGGGCAATGCTGTACTTTCACAAGACGTGAACTGAACTCTAACCCAGACAAACTCAGTTTATAATAACTCCAAAAGCATGTATTGAATATCTTGCTGTGTTCCAGTATCATAGGTCAAAAATACAACCGAGTGCTAATTATGCTGTTTAATGCAAGCATTTCAAAAGTCTATTTCTAACCTTTTTTTATTGGTTTCACATTTTCTTATTCTATTAGCAGCCCATTTTCTGCTCCCTTCCCTCCCTGTTTGACATTTCAGAACAAATAACGAAGCAGTTTTTAAGTGCATACGCATTTCCTCTAGGAAATCAGGGCTTGAGCACACACATTGGTCGTTGCATGCATGCTGATGAAGCATGCATAAAAATATGTCTGCCTTTGCTTGCATACATGCCAAAGTCTGACCTTCTGTGCTTTGAACTCTTGCTCCAAAACGCAAATGCATAATTCAAGAGGACTGAAGCAGAATAGTGTTGAGCGTAACTTCTGGGTACATGGTTCCCATAGCAAACTACACAGGCTTGAATTACATTTCTAAACTGTCTGTGCAGCAGAGGATGTGGGTTCCTCAGCATGAGGACAAGGAAAATCAGTGCGCCCAACGGCCAGGGCAGTCTGCACGGGCCGGCAGACAAGCACTGAGGACTGTGTTCTTTCTGGAGAACTTCTCAGCTAAAGTGAGAACATTTACGTCCATGTGAATTTCAGATATGAAGGCAAAGTAGGTGGGAAAAACCACCTCTGTGGGTCTCAAAAGACTACATGCATGAGAGAAGCGCCATAATGAATCGCCTTTCCGAAGTAAGCCATTCTGGGTATGTGCCAAAGTGGAGCCTGTAGAAAAGTCTGTCAGACTCATGTACTGACAGGTGAGATGGTAGCTAAGCAAATGCTTTGGGGATAAGCAGGCTTGAATATTGCTTAGGTCTAATTAAGTCTAATATGTCTCATTCATTTCTTTCTGGCCCAGATGCTGGTAACACATTCAAGGGATACTGTTATGGTGCCAACCACAGTGTTGAATATAACTGAATTTATTTATTTATTAAGAATAAAAATAAATGTTCAAAGGTAAAGGCGGTAGCAATAAAGTCATTTTGTGTCTCATTATATTGTGAAGAAACGCAGCCCATCGTGCCACAGAAGAATGATGTTTAGGAGTCCAAATGTGTACACTACTGCTTATATGCATATTTGTTTTCCCTTCCTACACAGACACAGCCAGGATGATGTATAAAAAGACATGCCTACAGACTGGTAGCCTGTGACTGCTGGTGTACAGATTTTTCTTTTACTCTTCTGAGCATTTGTCCCATTTGGAAGTGTCATGGGAAATATTCTTCACATTGTTTTACAGCCCTCAGTAGCTGAAGAAAATGAGACTTTATTGCTGTAGAAAAAAACTCCACCCTGCCACAATTATTTAGCTGTGTGCGTGCATTCAGATGTTGATATGCCCTTATTATAACACAGATTTACTGACAGCTATGGCTACTGGGAGAAGCCTTGCTCCCCCTCAAATTATCAGCTAAATTTGCCTGCTTCCAAAGAACCAGGAATTCAATCAGTCATCACTGCCAACTCTGAAGGATATCACCAAAGTGCTGCTGGAAATGATGCAGAGCTATTTTGAGGGGATAGCTTAGAAAGATGTTTTCTTAAATACCATATTGCAAAATTGTATGAATTAGCCAAATGTGTCTTCCAGAATTCTCATAGCATTCATATGGAGCTTTTATTACTTTTGTAATTCACTCTTCACTGACTTCTCAGAAGTGCCATAAGATGTGTTGAAAACTTGTACAAAGGGCATCTTAGGAGGCACAAAGCAAAATTTTCTACAACCCCCAGAATTTACTAAAGATTAATTTAATACAGTGAAAATTTCTTTCATACAGATGTGTTTCTATATAAAAAATAGACTTCACAGTTAGTGTGCTATAGCTCCTACAGCTGAGAAAAGTCTTTTCCAAGGTTCTAATATCTTCGGTGCCTTAGAAAATGTTCTCTCAAATTGTTCATTTGAATTTGGCCTAGATCATACAGTCCTTGGTAGTTTATTATAGTTTACTTCTCTCTTATTTTACTTAATTGGTTTGCATCTTCAGTGAAAAACATGTAATGAAGAATAAGAGTGATACACTCCAGCCTAATTTTGCAACATGCTTAGTACTAGCTACTAAATCTCTTTTTACTAAGGATACAGCTGACTGCTTTCCTATTTTGAATTAAATGATTTGTTTGTACACTTAATTTTCTTCAATCTCTTTTCATCAGCGGAAAAGTACTGATAAAGCACTAGTTGACCATTAGAAGATGGATGAAATAGAATGATGCATCTTCATTACTATCGTATTCTCTCTGAATTATTTTTTTTCCCTTGCAGGACAGTTCTGTTTACTCTGACCTCTGTAGTTGTACTTGTCATCACTACTGACTGGATCAGCTGGGACAAGCTGAATCGTGGATTTCTGCCAAGTGACGAGGTCTCAAGAGCCTTCTTGGCTTCTTTCATCTTGGTGTTTGACCTTCTTATTGTCATGCAGGTACACTGTCCTAATGTTTCATTCAAGCTGCTGAGGCTGCCTAGTAACTCTCTTTCCTCTAGAGCAAATGGTGTTTAGCTAAGACTACATAAATGTAAATAAATGTTTAGTTTGCAATTGCTATTAGCAGAGGCATTTTATAACACCATTCTCAGTGACTTTGCAAAAAGCCCACTGGCCTTTTATTGTGAAAACATTGCTGATTTCTCTTCTTAGACTGCCAGGTAAGAACTGCATGACTTTCCAAATTAGAAGGTGTTTTCTGCAAAAATGACATCAGAAAAAGAAATGGAAGCTAATTGTTTGGTAAATTTGAAGCTTCTGTTAGGAACATGAGAGAAATTTGGCCAAAAAAGAAAGAAGTACTTCCATATTTCAAGCATTTATGTTATTAGGTATACACACATTATAGCATTTTAATAGATGAAAATTAGTATTTGCTATTAAGATTCCACTTTCACATGAAGATTTCTTTACTTTGACGACAGGTCCTTGTACTGTAGTGTCTTCTGCCAGCAAGGTTAACTGGGGAGATGATTCCCTGTAGTCTGCCTGATGTCTGCTCCTTTGAATCTAGCTGTTAAGAAAGGAATCTGGGTCACAAGTATGTGGCCAAAAAATTCCTTCATGTGATGCTGTGCTCTACCCTTTGCATTTGTCTGTGGTTTGAGCCTTGTGTGAATAACTCACCCAATGCTTTGTGAAGAATTAGGTCAGTTGGGCTGAGGCAAGGAAAAGGAGCATCGAAGGCCTGAGTGACTTTTGCTATTAGCCCTAGATATGTTAGACTATTGAACTGAAGTTCAGCAAAGAATTTGAGAAGAAATTATGGGTCCTTTCTCTCCAATATATTACTAACTAACTCTGCTAGCAAAGACCGTTTCTGAGACACTTAGTTCTCTTTAATGAGATATCTATTGCTTGAGTAATTATCATAGAGGTGACACTGTGGTGGCACTGAGAATTTATCACTGCTGTACTGTTTTTCTAGTAAGATTTCTGGTGCTTTCTTTTCTCTCCCTTTGCATTTTACATTTTTTTTGCTGTTTTGAAAAGATTCAAGAGAATGTCTAATAAATGATTGTACTTCACAGGGCTGTAATGAAAGCATGAATGAAAATACACGATGTATCAAGCTATACTGAATTTGATATTGTATGCAGGGTAGAGAAACAGAGTTGTCTTCATACCAAATAGTTATTAAATCATCCTTTCGACTTTGAAGAATGAAGTTCTAGTACTTTGACCTTGGCATTGCTGAATATCGGGAAGAATTTTATTTGAAACAGCCTGCCCCGAGTACTATTTCATATTTTTACAACACAAAGCAAGAGGCTCTTTTTAATTGTATTTTCAACTGATGTTTGTGTGATGAAGTTATTTATTTATTTAAAGTTATTTGGACTGTGCAACTAAGTTGGCATGCTTTATTTACAGTGTAGTTCTAGCATCATTGCATTGCTACTGCAATAAAGTCAAGCTGAGACAGCAAAGTATTAAATCACAACTGAAGACCATCAGGATCATGATCCTTTGACTGAAGTATGCTTTAGAATTACATGTTTCTAGAAATTCTTTTCAATAGTGTTGTCTGTTTCACAATTTTTTTTTCTAACTTAACAAGCTTTACCAACAAACTGGTAAAATTAGAAAAAAAGAAAAAAAACCCCGCAATTTCTGTTTGAGGCTGATGCTAACTAAGAGCACAGATGAAGTCTCATCTAATTTTTGAGTACAGGCATTTTCTGTCCCTCTAAATGGTAGCATTAATACTGTGTTTAGCAACAAGAGAAAACCAATTGAGTTTGGAAACCCATTCGCAGTGCTGTGAAAAATAATCACATAATTGTAAAGGACAGCTTTGCCTTCTTAATATTATTATAATTTAATATTTATCTAAGTCCTATGTAGCGCATAAGAAAGAAAGGACTGAGCGGTCCCTGCTCTGAAGAGCTATGTTTTTTCAATTAGACATAACCCAGGCAGACACGTGAAGAGGAGAACACAGGCAGCTGAACCTTATACAGACAGTTATACATGAGCGATGCTAAAGGGTACGTGCACTTTTTAGCTTTGGTTTCCATCCTGCAACAAACCCTGGCTGCCTCCCAGCCCCACTCTCCTTCTAGTGTGCAAAGGCTCCTTTCAGTCCGAGAGATTCACCAAATATTCAGGGAATGGGTCAGGAAGAAAAGCACAGATGAGAGACAGAGTAGAAGACAGAGACTTGTATCTGAAATGTAAATGTGAAAGTTATGGCCACAAAAATATTAAGACAATCTGAGAAAACAGGTCATGGAGAAGGTTGCAGGACTACAACAGGACCTCATGGATAGTGTGGCTGGCTTCTGGCTCAGGCTGTGTTCCTACCTCTTCTGCCAACCTCACTGTGACACATCACCACATCCACCCTCCTTGGAGTGAAGAAATGGACCCTGCGTGCCTGTTTTAGATGGCTGCTGCGTATACATCTCCACCTGATTTTAATCACTGTGTCTTTATAGTCAATGGAGACATCAAGGTACAGTTAGGGTGCTTTTAAACATCTACAGTAGGATGAGATGCAGCAGGCCCTAGAGGTGCACGTTTCTCTCCACGGAGAACAAACAGACCCAACATGATGAGTTGAGAGGAACCATCCCTTAAGCCAGACTCAAAAGAAACGATATGAGGGTGGCATGGCTCGAGTCCAGAGCTGCAGCTCTGCAAGGATCCTGCTCAGCTATTTCCACAGCTGATCAAAGGGCCACAGTAGCATTTCTCTGATAGCATTTTATCAATGAGACTTCTTTAGAGCATGTCTGACTCTTACAAGCAGGGTGATCTCCACTTCTCCCACTGCTGCCTGGCCACGGTTTGAAAGGAATTTAGGTTTCACTGGGTCTAGGACAGCATATCAGAGACAATACCCATTTTAGGCTGTTTGAGAGGCAGCAGAGAGGTCTCTGTTCCAATCCTGGTTGTCAGGGCATTTTATCCAATGTAAATACAAACACTGATTTTTTTAAATACAGAGATTGCATATTTTCTCACTGAAAAACAACAGATCAAATTCAGTCCAATGCAGGTGAGCATTAGTTCATTTTAAAGGACATGTGCTTGCTTATAGTAAGAAAGTAAAAACTCTACAAGTTCGTTATTTTTTCCACAGTATGGAAGTGATGAAGTTAGTCATTTTCACAATGTGCTTAATTATGCCTGCCCTGATAATTGAGATGGCAAGATGCCAACATATGTATGTTTCTGGCACCTATAGCATTCACTGCTGTACATGCGCATCATTATATTTCTAGCCTTAGTTTCAGGCTGAGTGCAAGACCACACATATTAAAGCTGGATATGTAGTAACGCTATTATCATCTAATAGAACTTTTTACTATTTTAATGAAAAAATCACATATTTGGTTCTCTTTCGCAAAGCTGTAATGGAAAAGCTGTTAATTAGAGGAGTAAATATGAAAAATGAAACTATAATGCCACATTCCGAATACCTCTATTTGAGCAAGTAGACAGTAACTCATGCATTAGCCTATATACTGCGGGTTTTGGTTTGGGTTTTTTTGGTGTCATGTTCTTAGTGACTTTGGTAACGGGTAGGAGCCTGTGGTGGCTGGATTATTAAACCTCGTGTGTCCAGGGGAGATGAATTGTTTCATCTCTGTAGTATCTTTTGTGAGCGTTTACAGGTTTCTCCAGACTTCTGAAAGACTGTAGAGTATTTCGGCATCACTGTGGAGTTACACGCTGTAGCTACCTTGCTGAGCACTTTCCAAGTGCCGTGGTGTAAATTCTTGCAACTCTTAGGACTTACTGCAACTTTTTATCTGACAGTACAATCAGATACAATGTCTGAGTGATCTAAAAGTTACCTGAAAATACCATTTGATTCCAAAAGGAGAATTTATTCTTCAATAAACTGAAGAAGTTCTATAGGGGCTGAGTGGAATAAACAGAAGCCAGGAAGCGCTTATGTCTAAGATTCTTTGAGAAAGCTCTTGTATGTGAATATTTAACCAAACTAGCAAAATAATCCCATTAATACCAAATGGGAATACTCTTATAAATAAAGAGAAAAGAATTTTGTCCTTCTGCATAACTTGAAAGAAATGAAGGTCAAAGAGAGATAGATAATTAACAACATTCCTAATGCTGGATCTCTGCTTATGTAGGTATTAGGATATCAGCAGACAGATTTTTTTTTAACAATAAACATTTTTCAAATGTATTTTTCATAATATTTTTTGTGTGTAAATTGCTTTAATATGTAACTGTAGATCACTCCTTGCTACTGCAGTTGAAAATCAACATATTTAATGGGTGGCCTGTCACTTCTTTTTTTGTTTTGTTTTCTGCAGAATGTCTGGTCTTCTGTCTTTGGTAGAGTTTTAATAAGAAAATTAGACAAACAGATTGAAGAAAATCTGTATTAGGCTCTCCTGTGTTTTTTCTTCTAGTTCTTCATAATTCCCTGAAAAAAAGTAGTTAATTTAGCTTAACTTTGTAATGCTAACTATGTTTCGTATGTGTCATTGTTAAACAGTAACAGAAACATTATCAGCAAAATGGAACAGACTCTGGTCTTGTTAACAAATACATAAAGTGGGGACAGTTCCATTTATTTTCAGTTTTACACTGATGGAGAGGCTGTTTTGGTTAAAATCTAGTATGATATGTGAGCACATTAAAAAACACCACCCACAACATCAAGTGCATGGAAGAAGATATAATTTGCTTGAATAGTTAAAGTAAACAACAGAGTAGAAATACGGTCTTGTCCACACAAAGTGGGTAAAGACTTGGTTTTTAGAGGGTTTTTTTTAAAGAAAATCTATTTAACTTTGCAAACGTAGTTTGATTGTAACTTTTAACTGGATTTACACTCAGTAATTTGATAGAATTAATTTACATGTATGCAGACGAGAGGAGAATCCTGATTTATACTTTAAGCAGAATACACAGGTATAGTAGTTTTCCTTTGAAACAGATAAGCAAGAAATGAT